TATATATATATTGCTTGACTGCAGTAACATGATACGATTGTATAACGTTCATACTACTTCGTTAGTTGCTTATCTTTTATAACTGTATACATGATAACTATTACGAGAAATGCTGAAAGCATGAGGCAAGTCCAATGGATTGCACCATTATATCATGTTTATTCACAACACGTCACATTGTACACTATAAAACAAATCTTCAGGTTGGAGTGAAATAATTGCCAGGATTTTACACACTTCACTTAATTCTTGACACGCCCGAATGGATGTAACTCCAAATTAAATGCTTTGGATTGACTGATTTTGATCTTCTATAAATATTACTATTTAGAGACTATTATTTGGATAATGGATTGTAAAAGCTGTTTGATTCGTGCAATTAATTTTTTTTAAACAGACTTTATACTACTTCATCATTTTATTGTATATTTTACCCTTGATGTGCACGTCAGTATTAAATGATTTTTTAGTAAACTTATTTATTAATTAACTTATTGTTTCTATGTAATAAAACAAATATTTATATATTACCGGTACATCAACTCGTCTGTTTACTTGATAACTTCATGTACAAGTATTTCATACGGGTCAAAACGTAATGGTGAAAGATATGTTCATATATATATATATATACGTGTTCCACTAAGGGGGAAGGGTATAAGGAGGGGGGAGGGATATTTAACTGATTATTCAAAACTTAATTGTGTTAGTGATAGACCGTAAAAAGGAATCTGCTAACCACGGTACGGACGTCTTTGTAGGTGATGGATGGGGGCTCATCATTTATTAGAAGTCGCAAGTCATTAATAGTAAAAAAAAAATAATAATAATTTAATGCCAAACACAAGTTTTGTCTCCTTGATGATCATAAGGAAATATAAAACTGCATAATCTCAGTTTATCCACTGTTTTATGTCGAATGTTGAGTAACAAATGACAATGAGTGTACGATGTTGTGTCTCTGAAACTTTCTTGGACATAAGAAACACGACCCGGGTACAAAAGACCAATCAACTTTGTTGCACCATAGAAACAAATCAATAGAAAAAGAAGACCTGATTTGTTGTTGTATGGAAATATACGACGCTATGATAATCAGCAAAGAAAAAATAACCCTTCGACGTCAAAAGATGGCTTCAGACTTATCCCCCAGGGAATCCGAGAGGACACAGAGAGAAGGTCTCTCTGAAGAGCCGGATCCATTCGTAAAATGTAAATAAACAGAATTAAATTGTGTGAGACATCTTTGTTCTCGATGTCCTAATGTTGTTATTGTTGTATATGAATTATGACAATTATTTTCAAAAATAAAACAAAAACACCTTATGACTAGTGACCCCCCCCCTCCCCAAACCCAATACTGAGAAACACCCAATAAACATAAATAAAATGCAAGGACACTCATTAAAAATTCACACTACAAGACAATTAATTTAAAATTCATATTAAATTATTACACTACAAGAGATTTATTAAAAATTAACTTATTAACCACCAATTACATAATTTTTAAAAACAATCACAAAACAAGACACCAATTAAAAACCTTACACACA